CAGCAGGTCAGTGACCCTCCACACCCAGGATGGGTTTCCAGTCCCCAGCGGTGCCTTCACTTGCGCTCTTCACTTCCAGCAACCGGCTGCCAAAGACCAGAGATCAAGAATGGAAGAACGATTGGGCTGGAGACCACGTACCAAGTCATGGACATCATTGTCTTCGAATGTGATTTTGGTTACTCCTTGAAAGGTTCTCAAGAGTCTCAGTGCCAGTTTGGGAGCAAGTGGGACCCTCCTGTCCCCATCTGTGAAAAGAGTAAGTGTAAACGAGGCGATAGGTGGTAGATGATTTCTTCTGAGCCACAGTGTGAGCACACTCAGAGGTAAGAGAACCACTTCCCAGAAGTGGAAAGGAAAATATGCATGTATCTATCCTCCCATCTTCATAATCCCCATTCAGCCCCTTGTTATGTAGGGCTTTTATCACTTTACATGAAGCCACAGAGAGACAGTGAGCCAGGCTGGTCTGATGTTCACAACCACAGAAAGGCCAGAGCAAGCTGTTGGGGCCACAGATGGAAACTAACCACCATAAATGCCTAAATAGTGATAAATGGTCACTCCTGATGTCAGTAAGCTCGAAAAACATGAAGGCTTGGAAGATAAATGAGGATAGGATGTAAACATAATTCAAACAGTGACAGCCCTAGATATTTGGGAAAAGTTAATAGGAAAGAAAGAAGTTAAAAGGCTGCCTTACCCTACAGTAGTATCAGCTCTTCACCACTTGCTTTTTTCCCTCCTTGTAGTGCTAGAGTGTCCTTCCCCTCCAACTATCAAAAATGGTCAGCATGAGATAAAAGATGTGAAGATGTTCATCCCTGGAACATCAGTGAAGTACTACTGTGACCCAGGGTATGTCCTCACTGGGAAAACAGCAGTTTCTTGTTTGACATCTGGAACCTGGAGCATCCCTTACCCCCGGTGCGAAGGTGAGCAGTGAACGCTGTTACCCATACTGAATGTGTTGCCTGATCTAGTTGAGAGGCGTCCCTGCCCATGACAGGGAGGTTGGATTAAATGATCTCTGAGGTCCCTTCCAGCCTCGGCCATTCTAGGATTCTCTATGGATGCTTTCTGGCGCTGTGATTGCATGTCCTTCCCTGCATTTTGACCTCGTGAAAACAAAGGGGGAACCACTTCCCCGGCCCACGCCGTTGTCACTTTTCAACTTCCAGTGATCATCTGCACAAGCCCCAACATCCAGAATGGCGGCGTGGCTGGAGGCCAGAACTCGGTGTACCACCCTGGGGCCAACGTCACCTTCCAGTGCCGCCCGGGTTACACGCTGTGGGGCAGCCCTGATGCCAAGTGCCAGCCCGACGGCCACTGGGTGCCCGCTCTCCCCACCTGCAAGCCAGGTGAGTGGGGCACGGGGGGTTTAGAAGGAGGATGCTTTAGGGCCACCCTCGTGCTAGAAAAGCCCTGAAGTCACGCCCTCCGCCTCACTCGCATCGCTTTGGGTGCGATAGACTTTTTTTTGTGTTACACGTGCTCCAACCTTGGGCAGAGATCATGCCAACGCTGCTCTCTGCTTCTGCCCTGTTAGCGCTGCCTTGTCCTCCGCCTCCCATCATCGCCAACGCCACGCACAGCGCAGAGCCTGGGGCAAACTTCACCAGCGGCATGTCCGTGAGCTACAGCTGCCAGCCCGGCTTCTCCCTCCTCGGGGACCCGGCTGTCTCGTGCACAGCCACGGGGAACTGGAGCCTCCCGTACCCGCGCTGCACAGGTGAGGCTGGCTGCTGCCGCGGTGCAGCCCTTCCCGGTATCCCTCCTCGCGTCTCCAGTGCTGGCTGAACATCCGTCCCACGCTCGGCTAATCCTGGAGCAGGCAAACCTGCCAACCCAAAGAACTGAGGGGAAAAAAGGGGAACTGCACATCTAGGGACACCGCTGGGTCTAAGCATGCTTCCAACACATGCAGGAGCTGCGTTCACTTTGGTGGCTTTGTGCATGAATCTCTCTTGCATGTCACCCTGTCCATGCCCTTTTTTCACTTTGTTTTGTCCTCTTTCCTTAGTGATACAATGTCCTTCACCCCCAAATATTGACAAAGGAAATCACAACAGCCAGGACTTGGAAGTTTTCACTCCTGGGATGGTTGTAAATTACAGCTGTGAGCCTGGCTACAGCCTCCGGGGAGAGGCATCGATTTCCTGCACCGACTCTGGAAACTGGAGCCTTCCTTTCCCTCGGTGTGCAGGTACACTGCGCTTCCAAACGGGAGTTATGGACAGTCTGGGAATTTCTGCCACTCCAAGCCTGAAGGATTTATCCTTTCTCTTATTCTTTCCAAAAGTTTGAATTCTTCCATCCTTCCCCTTTGTTTTCAGTTTTGCTTGTAAACTTTTATCTACACACACTCAGTGCACACTTTAAACCAGCTTTGGGTAGTTGATATCCCTATTTTATCCCGTGTTCTCTTTCCTGACAGGTGGCTGTGGCACACCTCCAAACTTAACCTTTGCTGAGCTAGCTGAGGAATACAAAAATCTGACAGAGTTTCCCGTTGGGGACACTGTGCGATACAGCTGCCAGCCAGGATACGTGAGACGCATCGGAGTGTCCCCAGCGCTGACGTGCCTCAAAAACCACACGTGGTCTGAAGCGCTAGAGTTCTGTAAAAGTGAATAACTCCATCAGTTTGGTGTTGGTTGTTGAAAAATTGTCTGGCTGCATTTGCAGGTTTCTTAGAGCAATTCTTTACAAAATTATTCATACATGGCTTCACTAGTCACATAGTTTGGGCAGCTATTGGCCTTTTAAAAATCACATTTTTATTGATGTTTGAATGTGGACAGATCCTTGAGCGATACCTTCTCATAGTGCTTTACAAAACTGCAAGAGAGGAGTTTAAACTCAGCCTTGTTCTTTCCCAGGGAAGCAATGTAAATACCCAGAAACGCCAAAGAATGGCAGAGTTGTTGTTCTGACAGATCTCCTTTTTGGGTCAATCGCAAACTACACGTGTGAAGAAGGGTGAGTCCCACGCGGCTTTTGCTGATTCCATTTCTGAGCTCGGTGTTGGACAATCTACAGCAAAGGCTCAGAGCCCCCTCTTCTGTTCTCCCACAGCAAGCCAGAACTTGTATTTCAGTTCCAGCTATGCCATAATTGCCTGCGCAGGAATGGGAGAAGTGTCTCTCTCTCATTTTTCCCTGCCTGCGCTCCATACGCTACTTTGCAAACTTGAGTTTCACCCAGCAGGAGCAGAGAGTGCTGCGAGGAGGCTCCAGAGGTTTGGAAATCACTTGGGCCTGAGTCCTAATTTAAGCAGCTGACCCAGCTCACTCACAGTAATTTGGGAGCGTTGCTGTTCCTCTTGGATCGGGGAAGCAGGATCTTTCCTGCTTTCCCATGAGTCAAACCAACGGACGCAACTCGGTGATCAGTCAGAACGAGGAGGCTGCAGAAGGAAACCTCTGGGGGTAGCCTCAGAGCGGGAAGGTGAAACCCAGGCTGAAAGACTTGGTATCAACCAATATTTCTTTCTCTGTAACCCCAGGCACAGACTGGTTGGACAGTCTCATAGGCGATGTGAGATTTTTGGACCAGATGTCGCATGGAGTGGTCTTCTTCCCATTTGCCAGAGTAAGTATGTCACCCCCAGGTCTGGCCCAGAACTGTGAAATTATGTCCTTAAGATTAAAAAGTGGCACATCCTTAAAATAAAGAGAACCTTGAGGAATAAGACTTTTAAGCATAGTATTTCTCTAGGATTGTTTTGGTTTGCTTGTTTGTTTTTTCCTAAAAATCCTCCCATGCTAGCTTTTGATCCTACATAGTTACATGGACTGAAGAGCTGGGATTTGTCCCTTTTATTTCACAAACATAAATAATAAATTAAGGAAGAAGTGTGTCCTGCAGCAGGAGAGTGGGATACTGAGTAAAATTGAACTCGGATCTTCCAAATACTGTGCTGTTATCCAAACCACAAGGCTGTTTTGTAGGGGTTGATCATTGCAATTAGTCCTCCCTTCGGACAGAACTGCTTTGAAAGGCATGAGCTTGGTGCAGTGAAGCAGTCATGGGAATGACTAGTGGCACTCTTGGATTTCTACACCATTTAATGTATTTGCACTATTCTGTTTATAGGCACAATATATGTCTATATATTCAATAATGTGGTAACGCCAGGGTTCCTAAAGGAACTAAAAAGCTGTCAATTCTTGACTTTTCTCTTCTGTGAGCCTCCAGGTACTACCTGGCAAGTGAAGGATGGCCTTTACATATGCCTCAATTACAGCATACATACGGCTCCCTCTTTGAGGTGACGGTTTTATTTTTCAGAGGTGGTATGTCCAGCCCCACAGATCAAGAATGGGAGAGTAGCTGTTCCTAAAGACCGCTACACATACCAGGATACTGTGAGCTTTAAGTGCCGTAGAGGTTTCACCTTGCGAGGCCATCGCACAGCCCAGTGCCAAGCCAACAAGACGTGGGATCCCCCTGTCCCCATCTGTGAGCAGGGTAAGTGTCAGCACTCTGACCTGTGTGTTGGCACCACAAATTCCTCCTCAACTGCTCCTACTCACCCACTTCATTTTTCCTGTTTGCTCCAACTCCATTAAGAAGCAGCCAGAATCTGTTCCTTCTATTTATGCCTCTCTCGCACAGGAGATAACCCAGGTTTTGAGTAACGCTGTAAGTATAAGCATGATTTGCACTTCTCACCCTGCTTGTTGCAATCCATAATCCACAATTTCTTCATTTCCTGCAAGTGAGAAATCTGGTCACTTCATGGCAGGACACACACCATCAGAAAGGTGTGAAAAATTTTTCTGGAAATGTAAAGGCAGGATGATGGAAAATTAACGTAAATTTGTGCATTGTATTTACTCAACCAAATGTGTATTTTGAACTCTTACTGCTGCATCTAGATGGCGTGGCAGAACACTATCATCATCCTGACACCACAATGAAGCCAGGTAGGTCTGCTATAAGAAGAGGCAAGATTTGCTAAACACTAACTCCTCCTCCCAACCCATCCTGCTTTTTGCAGGGAAGAGGGGTAACTCACTTGCTTTACTTTCTTGTTACCACTTTTTTCCCCAACCGAACATCACCTTCTCATCTCTCCTCTTTCAGCAGTGAAGTGTGTGCCTCCTCCAAGCATTGCTAACGGAGAACACAGCAGTCATTTCTCCTCCACATTTGAGGTAGGAGCACTTGTGCACTACCGCTGCAAACACGGCTTCTCCCTCATCGGGAACAAGTCTGTTCGCTGTACAACATACGGAGTCTGGAGCCGTCCCCTTCCTCGGTGCAAAGGTATGTTTGTGTCCTTTTCACTGAACCCTTTCAACTTTCTAAATGCATTGAACTCTTTGCCTAAGAACTTGCTGAAACAAGCTGTTGCTTTAACAAACTCCACCGCTAAACAAAAAAGGAGGTCTCTGGCCAAGAATGAGGCCTCTGTTGCAGAGAGCTAAGAAGAAAGGACATTTAACATGACTTGCCTTAGGGAAAGGTTTGTATAAGGACTAAATCTGAGTCCTTGACTACAAAACAAGCTTACAGCTGTTTCCAAAGGCTGATGGAATTACAGAGTTACAAAATCAGCCGTTGAGCCTAGGCGAAGAAATTAAAAGGGAACGATCAAGGCTGCAAAGGTATGGTGCCTTAGCTACCCTGGCAGCCCATCGGGATCCTCATGCCAACGTTGTTGTTTGTCTGTCCCTGACTTCCCAGCTGTGAAGTGTCTCCATCCTCCAAGCATCACCAATGGGAAGCTCAAAGGCAACATCTCCGACACTTTTTCCTATGGAGCATCTGTATCCTACAGCTGCAATCCTGGTTATTCACTCGTTGGGAATGCTTTCATCAACTGCACGGTGTCAGGAAGCTGGAGCCAGCCTCCTCCTCGGTGCAAAGGTGTGTGTGTCCTTAGTCTGCTCCTGTTATTTGGAGCTCACGGTGTCAGAACCAGAACCGGGCTGAGAAGACGTGCAGCCAGGCTGATCTTCAGAGAGATGCATGGGACAAATTCTAAGCTTTGAGGAGATATTTTTCCCCTTCCTTTCCCCTCCCTTTTTGTGCCTCTCCCTTCTCAGTTATCACCACCAGGAAGCAAAGGAAGGGATTACATCAGAGAAGTTGTCTCCGACGGATGCTTTGTAGATTATACATGAGCCTGACTATTCCCTTCTTGGAAAACACCTCTGTAGCTGCGACCTGGCACTTCTGTGCAGCTCACTGTGAAGGGCAGTCAGCAGGCAAACTTGACTAAAGGCAATTTCATGAATGTCACAAGATGTGACAGAAAACTGGACGTTCACTGCAATAAATTCATTACTCACACAGAGTGCTTCCTTGCCGGAGCTGCACCCACCTCAGTGACTCAAGAATTGAAACGTATTTGGATAACAATGAGAGGACATAACTTACCAAATGCTTATGTAAATAAATGGTTATATAAATAAGCATTCATTTACGTAACCTTTATTATAAGGGACTCTTTAAAGGAAGCAATCTCACAGAAAAATTCTGCCTGCCATTCCGCATTCTTGTGGCTTTGAAGTGTCCTCAGCAACGATTACATGTGAAAGTAAAAATAATTATTGAAAAAAGATGTGAACTAAAGGTTAAAAGTTACACGTTGATGTTACCCCTTTCGTCTCCAATGAGCACCTTCCCCAGAATTCTTGGACCCAGACTGTCAAAGGTGATTAGACACTTAAATTGAAGCAACAAACTCATTTGATTTAAATCAGTGCTATAAATAGCTTAGATGGCTGGACTGGTTAATAAATTCATTACTGATAAATAATATGCCTGATGACATCTTTTAAGGGCAAGGGACTTATAGCAAGTCAGTTATAGGCAGTTGGTTCTAAAGCTCCCACAGAATTCTTTACCGCTACACCTTCTTCTCCAAACGCTTTGGTAGCCCAGCACCAGAAAAATCTCTTTCTCTGACAGGCTTCTCACAAGGTAACCCCCCTGCACACAGGTTTCCATCTGCCATATCAATGTGGAGTAGCTGATCTGTGCAGATCCTCACACGTGCAAGTGAGGCGCTACCCTCTTCTGCCGCCACAAAGAAAGGAATAAGAATTAATTCCTGGTTACATTCAGAAAGAATTCAAGAACAATGTCTTTAACAAACCACAGCTGTATTCTCGGTTTTTTTGGTCCTTCTTATTAAATGTCCTTTTTTTTATTACTTCTGATTTCAGAGATCAGATGTGTAATCCCAGAAGTTCAAGGTGTTAAGAAAGCCATAAAAGGAAACACTTATCGCTCTGGGACCAACATCACTCTTGAATGTGATGACGGTTACACGTTGGAAGGCATCGGTCAGATTCAGTGCCAAGAGGATTTCAGCTGGGACCCTCCTGTACCAGCCTGTAAACTGAGTGAGTGAAACTAGAATGAAATAAAGATCAAACAGAAACATTCAAATGTCTTTTAAATGAGCAAATGGGGGGTTTGTATGGACCAAAAATGGTATGGTTTGACAGAAATCCTGTATTGTAGGCCTTAGCAGTACAAGCTGTATTGAGAAAGTGATTAACTACAGTTGAGAAACGCAGCATTTTGTTAGAATCGTGTGCTGATTTTTCTTTTTCTCTTCTCTTCAGCATCACACAAGTCTGGCTCAGTAGGTCTAGGTAAGCAGCTCAGAGGCATTTATGCAGTGTCTCAGTGGCACCATTTCTCTCTGTGTGCTTTGAAGATGTGCCTCGTTACGTCTTCTGCGCTGACAGGCTTCAAAACACACACTGCGAATAGTAACGTGCTCTTCTCTCTCAGGAGCCGCAGCTGCAGGAGTCCTGCTTCTCCTGGGGGCAGGCTTCACCTGGAAAATCATTTCCAAGCAGAAAAAAGGGTAAGGAGGTCTTCTGGATGTCCATTCATGTCTCTTGTTGCAAAGTCGAAACTTTTAGACACTTTATACAACTGAAATATTTGCCTGAGCATGCCTGGGTCTTGTAATTCTACATCTTCAGCTTGTGCCTGCAAACTGTACATGGCACAGCAGCCTGGGATCCATGGTGGGGTTGTTTTATTTCAACACTCTTCCTGAGGGGAAACCAACCAGTGTTTTCTTTGACAAACCAATACAGTTCACCATTTCCTTCTTTTTCACTTAGCTATTATTATACTGGTGAAAACTACAGCTACCGAACCCCTCTGAACCAGATAACCAAACGGGAACGTTCATGTCTTCCATAGAAGGTATGGATTTATGTTCCTCAACATAAAATACCAGTTACAGCTGCAACGCCGAGTTCTTCCAATATAGGCACTCTTTGCAGCACTCTGAATACAATCAGCTTGGACTACAAAATAGCGCCTGTACACATTAGCTCTTTTATTTATTTTATATTTACAAAGGCTGATCTTAGCACATTCCTCCTCTGAAACAACGCATTTCCCAGAAATGCTCTCCTCCCTCCCTGAGTTATGACCTAGTCTCCAGGCATCCATGGGAAAATGGGAAAAGTCTAATTTTAACACCGGGATGTCATCGGTTCCCTAGGCTGGGCACCGCGCTGCTGCTCCCCAGGCATTCGACTCGTTCTCCGTTCAGAGAGCACGGAAGCATCGCTCTGTGGCAAAAAAAAAAAGGGAATTTACTGTAGAATCGACGTTAACGCTTCCAAGTTCAGCCTGCGGCTGGCACGGACGCGGCTTCGGAGGGCCTTGGTGGTCAGCTGCTGGAGAATGTTTCCTTTCTCTACAAACCCCGCGATCAGCAAGAGCCACACACTCATCCCTGTGCGGGGTTTGGTAAAGCAGGAGGTGCCTGAACCGTGCCTGGGCTCTGCTCCGTGTTTGGAGCCCCAGCACAGGTTTGCGGTGTTCCTCTGAGAATGCTTCATGAATAAAAGCTTGAATGTTGGATAACACTCGCTTGCCTTAGGTTTTGTTTCTCCTTTGGCGTCGGTGTAGAGTTGGAAGTTATAAGAAAACCCCCGAACAAGCCGTGGGTTGTTTTGTTTTTTTAACGTAGCTCCGCTGGGCGCTCCCCAGCAGCAGCGCTGCTC